CTGGGCCAGGTGTGGTGACTCATGCCTGAAATCCCAGCACTTTGGGAGGCCAAGGTGGGAGGATCACAAGGTCAGGAGTTCAAAACCAGCCTGGCCAACATGGTGAAACCCTGTCTTTACTAAAAATACAAAAATGAGCTGGGCATGGTGGCGGGCACCTGTAATGTAATCCCAGCTGCTTGGGAGGCTGAGGCAGGAGAATCATATGAACCTAGGAGGTGGAGGTTGCACTGATCTGAGATCCTACCATTGCCCTCCAGCCTGGGCAACAGGGTGAGTTCTATCTCGAAAAAAAAACAAAAAACAAAAAACTTGTCTTATGCCAAATCAACATCATTGTGCTGTGTACTTCTCAATGTGACTGTTTTCAGGAGAAACACTCATATTGAGGTGTGATTGTTAGCAAAACATTACTTGACAGTCATGTTTCTTTCAGTGCTACACACGTCTGTGTTTGTGTACAACCAAATTTCTGTTAAAATACTTGGTAAAGATATTATTGTGCTTTTTATATGTTAAAGTATAATTTCTAAGCTGTGATACTACCCTTCAAAAACCTGGGAATTCCCAGATTAGACAAGAATTTTATCCTTCAGGTCTTTTCTTTGATGTCAGCTTGACTTTGGCCACACAGGCTTAACCTAAGATGGCTTTGCAATGTCACATCAAGTGCACATTAAGTGTACTTGAGACAGATTAGTGTTATAAAGGAGAGTTAATACAATAATGCTACCAGTCTACTCCCAGTAGACTACCAGTTCATTGCAGCTTGCCTGGAACTGTCCTGGTGCTAAAACTGAAAGTCATACTTCTTGGGAAACCCTTTAGTCCTGGACAAATCAAGTTACCGCACCCCCAGTTTCTTGGCTAACTCCTTAATTATTTTTGGAATATCTACAGTGAAAACAAAGCAATGGACATATCCATAGTGGGAGTAGCAGAACAAGTTGAGTCAAACAACAACCAATATCAGCCAAAATGAAGTTAAGCCACTCACTGACTGTTACACTGATTCAAACTAGAGTTATGTTATGGCGATGGTTCAGGCCGTGTTTCACCAACTAATAATAACAACAAAAAAGTAATAATAACATAACTTTTAAAAATTTAATTCATCATGCTTAGAATGTTTGTTTCAGTTCTCTTAGGAGAAATATTTTGACAATTAATGTCTTTGTACAAGGAAATAATTGCCTTATGTAGTTTTTCAATGGCTTTGTATGATGTATCCAACAATTTTATACAATGCCTGAAAAATACCCATTGGTGGAGTTTAGCTGAAAGTTAACGATTCAAATACACCTTCAATCAGGGGCTAGTGTTATACAGATAGGAGAGAGGATGGTGTAGTGTTTAAGCACTGGAGTCAGGATCTGTGTTGACATCCTATCTTACTACTGACTTGTGCATGACCTTGGACTAGTTGTTGGCCTCTCTCCTCAGCTCCTTAATAAAACTTGCAACATGCATGATTACAGCATTTATCTTCTGGCATTGCTGTTTATTAAATGGTAATGAAGTACAGTACTTAATCCTGTGCCAAGCATAAACACCCAATAAATGTGAGCCATTAATATTTGTACCTACCAAAAGTTTCTAGAACGGTATTTTCTGACATTTCAGAATCATGTTGTCTTTTTAACTTATTTCCCAACCACTAGTATTCTTTGCAGAGGATCACGTTTTTAAAAATATACAAAGAACACAAAGAATTCTGACACAAGATGTGTAACTATATCAGTCTAATTGCCAAAGATCAATACAATATTACTTTAAAAAAATGTTGGCAAAAAAAATTGTTCATGACATATGACCCTTTGCAAATGCCCCAAATCAGAATGAGTTAAGAAAAAAACACACCTAACTATATGTTAGGCAGGTGACCCTGAAACATATCTTACTTTGTGCAAGAAAGTGAGATGTATTTTTTATGTCTATTAAGATAAAAATGCTAGAAACCAAGACATGACATCCCAAGATAATTGATACGCAGGTTTCAAAAATCAAGATGATTTGCCCAGAATTGTCCTATGTATTTATTTCCTAAAGTTTCATAACACAACACGCCTACCTCAAAACTAGGGTACTACTTACATGTAGTCAAAAGAACCAACAAATTGGTCCTCAAAAGTTTTTCTCATAGCTGCCTTGATGGCAGATATTTGACTAACTAACACTTTCTTTAACACCATTAGGAAAATACCAGGAAAAAGCAAGATGATATAACTGTAGGATATTGTGAATTAAGGAATGTTGGCATCACAGGATCATCTAACCAGAGGCAGATTGAAAGAAAAGAAATAGGGAAGGAGGAGGACTTTTATCTAAGAAGTTCCTCACATAAAATAATGTAAGTAGGTCCAGATGCCAAAACCTGAAAAATATGTATCCTACTGTAATGTATATGGTTTTATTTTCTGTGTGAGACATGACTTTAAAGTTTAGGAAGAAAGATAAGGAAGGCATCAGTCAAAACCAACACTCTTGACAAAATGAGAGCTCAAGATGTGCCATTTTGTGACCTCCTGTGCTATTTTGAATACAGCTGGCTGATGATTAGGAAAGATCAGTGATTTTCTTGCTCTTTGTGTAACCCAGTTTTAGAAATCTGCCACCCAAAAAAGAAAGGAACAACTCTTGAAGGAGTCCACATTTCGGCGATCAGACCATGATCAGCCTCTGCTTTCCTCTGACAGCCCTACACATCATTCGCTCATTCTCTGCTGTATTCGAAATATAACATGGAAGCAATAACTGATGATCCCTTTTATGTCCTTTACTTTTTAGAGTTGGTCTTGATTAATATTGTTAGAAATTGTAAAGCCCTAAAAAGTTACAGTAAAGTATTTTAGTCTCCTTATGATTTCACTCTAACATTTCAAATCCAAGATAAAATAATTTAGCATGTCCTCTTTTGTAAATGTCTTATATAAAGTCCTTGAGAGAAAGCTTTGTGTTGTAAGAGTGAAATTAATAAAGGCTTCTTCCCTGTAGAAATTAGTGTCTGTAAAAGAAATACATTTAGGCTTGGACTTTTGGGGCAAACCCTTAGAGTTGACCAGTTGTTTCACTGAACTGATTAGTTGTGTTGCTTTCAGGAAGTCACAGTTGCTTTTATGTGACTTTGTGAAGTCACAGCTAAAATTTTTGAACCAAATTCTCTTCCTAATCTGTTGTATCAAAATGAATATTTCACTGGTGTTTTATGTTTTACAAGAGATTACATCGTTGCTTGGCTTTAAGTCAGTTGAGTTCATCTTAAAGCATATAGAATTTTGTGACCTTCAGAATTTCTCATGATACACTTCTCTGTCATCTCTGTACAATCTGTTTTACAGCCTGATAGGGAAATGGTTTACATCAGGAACAATGTATATTTGAGCAACACTTCATAAGCAGAGTTACGTTACCTTTTATGGGCAGTGAAACACATAATGTAGCACAGCCTTCCCCTTAAGCTCCATAGCAAATGGGACACGGCACTTTGTTTTTATGCCTGGATTCCCATACAATATTATTTCCTAAGTATGTTCATGTCAACAGCCTGAGCCTTATTTAAAGCAGAATTTCCTCTTGAAGTGCAGAGGAGGAGAATGACCTTCAGTTCCAGTCCTCTTAAGTTTGATTAAAGCCACCTGCAATAAGTTTATTGCCTTGAACTCTGCTGTTTATCCCCTGTCATCTTCAGCCCTCTTCCTCTCCCTGTTGGGACAGAATTGGTATTATATTAATAAAATCTGGCCCAGGAGAGGTAATCATCACACTTCTGCTTTAAAATCGATTCTCTTCTTAAAAGGCCATTTTGAACCATATGTAAAATTAAACCAACAATGAGAACAACTTAAGAAAATGGGGCAATTTAATTCTGGCATATGCTTTCACAGCACTGTGTGTGAGAGTGTGTGTGTCTATGTAATATGTGTATGTATACATATGACAAATTATAAGTAATATATGCCTACATATGTGCTTTTAGGGCAATGTAGCTCAAAATTGACATGATTTAAATAATAATGAGTAGACTGGATACCATTATCAGTATTGTCCAAATGACTCTCATTGCTTAATGCCACCTTAATTTGGGGGATCTGATTAATATTTGATATTTCCAGGAAAGCAGAAAGAATATTAAATGTCCATAATGATCCAAAAGGAAACTTCTTTGGTTAATTAATTCTGTAAGCAAAAGAAAAAAAAACACTTATTTTCCCTTTCTATAATTTTTGTAACTAGAGGTTTAAAATGTTTGGTGTTGCACTCTGATTTCATATTTCCAATAGTGGTTTTTAAAAGTTGAAAATTTTAAATTAGTTTATTGCACTAATAAGAACTGGGTTGTTAACATTTTGGTTCACAGGAACAGAATAAAGAACCAGTTAACCACGTATAGGATAAAAATCAGCAGTAGGACTAAAATTTCCATTTTCTTAAGGAAGAAAAGAAGCAGATGCTCCAGAATCATGTTTTTACTGCAGGGTTTCTCACACTTTGGTGCACACTAGAACTGCCGGGTAAAGGGGCTTATCAAGCTACACATCATTGCCCTCACCCTGCATCTCAGATTCATCAGGTCTGGGCGAAGTTCCAATAATTTACATTTTTTATACTATGGGCCAGCACACTTTGAGAACTACGGTTTAACCAAAACTGGCCCTCCTAGGATCAGAGTGCAAACTGAAGGCTCTGGTCAGTATGCTTAACCCCAGGTAATATCCATCTGCCAACTGCAAAATGGAAAGGGGCTCTTGCTCCTTCCAAAACCGTCGTCCTGTAATCACTATCTTTGCTCACTTTCTCTTTTTATTCCAGAAATACTTTCCGCATAACCATTTTCTGAGTCTACATGGGGAATCCGTGTAAATATACACGTTTTCATTATATGTGAAAGAATTGCTGCCTATCAATTTACGTTACTTAATGAAGGGAAATTACAAACCCAGTATTTCATTTTATTTGGTGTCTTTGTTTTATGTTGCTATAAAGGAATACCTGAGGCTGGGTAATTTATAAAGAAAAGAGGTTTATTTGGCTCATAGTTCTGCAGGTTGTACAAGAAGTGTGGCATCAGCATCTGCTTCTGGTGAGGACCTCAGGAAGATTTCAAACACGATGGAAGGTGAAGGGAATCAGGCATCAATTGCAAGAGAGAAAGAGAGAAGAAAGGGTGTCAGACTTTTTAAAATAACCAGCTCTCACATGAACCAATAGTGCACGAACTGACTCATGACTGTGGGGAGGGCACCAAGTCATTCACAAGTGATTCGTTCCCATGATCCAGACACCTCCCACTAGGCCCCTCCTCCAATTGGGGATTAAATTTTAATATGAGATTTGGAGGGGACAAATACCCCAATGATATCACTCGGTTAACTTTTCATGGGCTTAAAGCATTAACTGTGCAGTTAGAGTTGCTCCTCTGTGCTCAGTAGTGGAGGATCTTTCTTGATCTAACCCACTGGAGGATTTTAGAATAAGAAAGCCTAGGGTCTCCTTGCAGACAAATAAAAATCTCTGTGTAGGGCCTTGGAATTTAAAAGCTTTCCAGGTAGTTCTAATGTGTAGCCAACAACCACTGGCAAACCAAAGATGCTTTGTCAATGGGGGTGATATGTCCCCCCAAGAGCATGAAAGTTGACGTGGGGGTGGTGAAAAAATTGTAGCAATGATCATGGATCATGGACCTCTAAAGGGCCACAGTAGATAAACAGGGATACGGCATATCTGAAGCATTCACATTTCATGGTGGGGTAGGGGCAGGAGATTATTAGAAAAACAAATGTCTAACAAGATTCCCTAGGAAGTAATAATGAAAAAAATGTTGGAAAACAATACCCTAACCCCATTAAGTTGCTGCTATGGTTTTTGTATTCCAACTTCCCTCCAAAATGCAAATCTAGTTGAATGCTCTTGCAGGTATTGGTAGAGAAAAATAACATCTTTCAATTTTGTTTCAACCAGGTGTGGTGACTCACGCCTATAATCCCAGCACTTTGGGAAGCCCAGATGAACAGATCACTTGAGGTCAGGAGTTCCAGACCAGCCTGATCAACATGGTGAAACCCCATCTCTACTAAAAAAATACCAAAATTAGCTGGGTGTGATGGGACACGCCTATAATCCCAGCTATTCAGGAGGCTGAGGCAGGAGGGTCACCTGAACCCAGGAGGTGGAGGTTGCAATGAGCCAAGATCAAGCCACTGCACTCCAGCCTCGATTACAGAGCAAGACTCCATCTCAAAAAATAAATAAAATAAAATAAAATAAAATAAATTATATTACATGTTGATCACTGAACTAGGGGCTTCTACACATGTTATCAAGTCAATCCTCATTACCCTGTACTTTTTCTTCAGAATACAAATCACAATGTTAATTAGTTTTACTTGATTCTTGTTTTAACTCAATTTCCAAAATAATTTATAATGAGAGTTACTGTCCTTATGAAGCTTACAAAAAATTCCATTTGAAGCTGTAAGGCCACCAGGTAGCTTTAAATTACTTTCACTTTAAATAATTGTCAGATATGTTTAGCCAAGTTTGAAAAAGATGACATTCTGTTAAAAGAAATTACAATAGAAAACGACTGTTACATTCCATTCTCAATAATACTATTTTTCTAAAGAATTTTAGAAAACCATCATCTCATTAATTTGTAATAAAACAGTGTTAGCATATAACAGCTGCAAAAAGGAGAGTATATTAAAATACCAGTGGTTGTGCATAATCTTTTGCAAGGATATAGTTTTGTTTTAAAATCTATCTGGGATGTTGTTTTGTTCAATTATAGCAAGGCTAACAGATCAGGAGACAATTGCCATTGAAAAGATAGTTTGCTACTCACAGTTCCCAAGGATGGGGTCACACATGACAACCCAGAGAAACACCAGGGTCAGTCAGAAGCAGAAGCAGAGAGAGAAAGGCATGGGCAAGAGCCTGTACTGTGGTTTCTACAGGAAGAAACAGGCCAGGCAAGGTGAGTAGCTAAGCAGGTTTAGAATTTGATAATTTGAATAATTTGGCAGGTTCTGGGCTATAATAATTTTGGCAGGTTCTGGGTTATATATCACTGTCTGGTACCTGGTGCTGGTGCTAGGGTGACTAGGACAGAAGAATATTAATTCTTGGAGTGTCAGAGCCAGATAGAGGAGGTAGTGGGAGTGTGGACTCAGGATTGGTTGGTTTGCTTAAACGGGGTGCTCACAGGCAAGTGTACTATCTCTAGGAATTAGCTAAGCCTTGGAAGGTCAGTGTCTCCTTCATTAGCGAGGTCCCACATGCCAGAGCATAAGAATATAGAAAATAATATTGTTAAAACAGTGTTATATAGTTACTACAAGGTTAAGTCTCAGAAATTCAGATCCATAAACTTGACTGGTTGTGAAAAAGGAGAAAGCTATCCAAATGTCATGAAAAAATACAACTAGGCACAATGAAGTCTGGTCCATTTCTACACAATCAAGTGTAAGGTTACTAAAGCCTTCATGCCATTGTATACATACATCAAGAGAAATCACCTATCCTAAAAGGCAAAACTTGTTGGCGGGGCGTTGGGGGGAGGTGGAGGCAGGATTTTATTGACATTGTGGTCTTGGTATTTACATCTCCTGTCTTTCTCTGTGTGCATGGTCTATAGAGACACAGTGTGTAACTGATGGGAGTTTAGATACTTTCTACCACCACAGAGTGTGCTGCTAAAAATACCACAGTTCTGGAGGCTATGAAGTCCAAGATCAAGGTGCCAGCAGGTATCTGTCTGGGGAGGGCCCAGTCTCTGCTTCCAAGATGCTGCCTTGTTGCTGCATCTTCTGGAGGGGGAGAATACTGTGTCCTCATATGGGATGGAAAGGGAGAACTGGTCCCCTCCAGCCTTTTCATGGAGTCACTAATCCCACTCATGAGAGCTCTGTCCTCATGACTTAGTCACTCCCCAAAGGACCTACCTCTTAATTACAGTCACAGTGGCAATTAAGTTTAGACAGATGCATTTTGGAGGACATTCAGACCATAGCACCAGTACGTGAATAAATAGCAAGTTTGTTGGGACCCAAGGGCAAAAATGTATAGTTTCAAAAAGTATGAAGAGTTTATTATTGTTGTAGTTGTTATTTTTACTGCTCAACAAAATGAATACAGCATTGTATCCTAAAACAAAAAATCTAAATTTTATAGTAAAATAGGCCATGGCTGAAAATTTAATCCAATATTTAGTACTAGCATGTTACCTTCCTAAACATCAATTTTTTTATAATAAATTCATGTTGTAATATCACTCTTGAGACTAGAAATAAATTGAAAAACATAGGAAGCAGATGAAGATTAAAATATAAACTTCAAAACAAACTAAAGCTGAATTTGAGATGTGGCTAAGACATGTAACCACAATGAACTTTTTAATATTTCATTCCAGAATTAAAGTTCTTCCCCCAGTCTCAGGCAAAGGAGAAAGCCCACTCTTCTAAATATAGCTGAGAACACATCCCACGTAAGGGGTCTTAAAAGGAACTGACCTGAGCGAGGCTTTCTCAGTCCTTTCTCTTGGTCTCAACAATCGGGCAAGGCAATTATCCTTGATCTTGAAGAGTGAGTGAAGGGCGATGAGAGAAGTGCATAGTCCCCAACCTCCCAGCTCTGGAATAATTAGAAGGAGGGACTGGAAATCCCCTTACACTACTTTGAAGATTATTGTGAAAATCGATTACGGACTATATATGCAATAGGCATTTTCAGTGGAAAGAGATGGTTAAATTCATCAAGACTTCATTTACCACATATATATTCTTCCTTCTTCTGATATGAAACTTCTTTTTTAATTTTTTCCATATCTAAGAGTAAACTTTTTAATTTATGAGAAAAAGGGATGTTCTGTATGAATTCAAGTTACTTAAAATTATGTGTTTTGAGTTAACTCTAATTAACTTTACATACGATTCTCAAATTTCATTCTAGTAAGACTGGTAAAATTGGTAAAAATACCAGAAATAATATAATATCAAACTGTAAACATGATTATTAAATTTTACGATTTCAATTGTTATTGTTGGTATTTTAGTTGATCACACTGGATGGTAGTAGGTACTTCATCTTTCTTGATAGAACAATTTAGCACAATTGTTCAAAAATGAGGCTTTTCTATCTCAGCAATGATACTAATATATGTTATTTATTAGGAGCTTTATGCAACAGACAGTGTGCCAGTGCTTTACAAAATTGTATTTCTAATAGTATAACAACTCTGGAAGGAATTATTATGGTACCAATTTTCTAAAGGAGAAAACTGAAGGTCAGAGAGAGTAATTTTTAAAAAATTTTATGGAATCAGAGTGGTAGAGTCAGGATTCTAACCCAGAATTCTGCAAATTCTTTCCTTTAAATATGCCTTTCTGACTTCCTGTAGGAGAATTTAATATGAAAAGAAAGAAAACAAGGTTGTAGTTCCATTACTGTAACCAACAGAAGTGACCTTGGAACTTCACTTGATTGAAGTATTTAAGGGACAGGAAGACAACCCTTTCTGAAAGGCTCGATATGAGTTGAAACACATCTTCAGCTAAATTGTTTAGTAGAGTCATCTAAACTATGTTGAGAGCTTAGAGAACAATGAAGTTTTCCTGCATTGCTTCTAATTTGATGCTTTTAATGAACATACCATTGCTTTTATGGTTTCATGATACCCTGAACTTCTCCCTTCATAGTCTCCATAACAATTGTAAATTATTTGCTGAAGTTTGTGTCAGATTCTAACCCCTGAGCAGTAGTGATAACTTTATCACTGTATCCCCCACTGCCCAGTGCAGGGACTAGGATAGGTGCTTATTACATATCCGTTAACTATTTGAATGAGTTAATGACTAAAGGCATAGGATTCTCAGAGATGAGTGACAGAGGTATTATCAACTTCAGGCAAGAAAAGGAAAGAGTCTGCAGTACTCAACTTTTCTTGAACCTTTTTTTTTTTTGATAATCAAAAATTACTCAGAATTGCACACACTATGAAGCTTTCAACACTTTGTACCATATGGAAAATCTGTTATATTTTCATAATTTGCATGCATAACTGCAAAATCACAATGCTTATTTTAGATTCCTAGGAATTAATGTAGATTCCCAAGGATCACCAGTGTGAAGCTCATAAGACCATAAAATTGGGCATTGATGAGCTCCAGGAAGGATAAAGGATATTGATCTCTCTTGGTTCTCTCCAGTGAACTCCTCTCAAACAAACGACCTTCTGAGCTTGGTGAGGAGTGGATCAGAATGCAAAAAAAGTGGAGTAAAATCCATATGATGAATTTTCTCTTCCTCTACCCCAGAAGGCCATGATTCCTGCAGGTCCTTGACTATCTCCACCCTCTTGATATTTAGCACATGTCTGTGGACTGCTCTCTCCTCAAGTTTTGCACCTAACTTCTCCGTGGCACTGGCAGTTGCTTATCTCTTCTTCACATACCGGTTTCATGATACAGTACAGTTATTATATTATGAAGCTATACTTTCAGTTTTTTAAAAGATTTAAATATATGGGTTTTCATGTAATGTTTTGTAGTCTGTGTATCTTTAAAACAAAAATTCACTTAAAACACTGACAATTTGCCTACAAATGTGCCTTTAATATCTCCATTATTCAAGAGTGCTTTTTCTTTTTTTCTCTCTTCCATTGTTTCCCTAACTCCAGAAAGATTATCCATGGGAAAAGTCCTAGAGCCTGCTTCCAAACTACACACAAATGTAATACAAAGCCCCCTTTCATATAGGCTCAGCATTGCCATCTAGGGACTATGTAGGTCTCAAGTGTGAAAAGATGTTCAACCAAAAATGGGCATTTCTGTTTTAGGCAAAGTCTTGACTGAAAATAAATCTTCTGCCCATGCTGGAACCACACTAGGCATAATTGAGGCATAAAACTGAGCCACAGGGAGAAAAAATGCTTATTTGTATGCTTGAAACAGATGATATTTTTACATTCTCAAATTGGTTAGTTGATCAACTGTCCTTCTGTATACATAGATTTATCTGAAAAACCATTGTTTAATATGGTTTTATCTTTCTTCCTGTCTATATAGCTCTATACAGGGGAGTCTATGAGGGAGAAGAATAGCTAGCATTTACAAAGTTCTTTATGTTCCAACACTGTTCTAAGCACTTTACACACAATAACTCATTTAATCCTCAAAGTAAGTAGATGAGAGAGGCATAATATTATCCCCACTTTTATAAATTAGGAAATTGAGGCATAGTAAAATACATTGCCCAAGTTCAGACAGGTAGTAAGCAATGACTTGCAGCAGACAGTCTCACTCCAGATTCCACACTTTTGTTTTTTTTTTTTTGAGACAGAGTCTCACTCTGTCACCAAGGCTGGAGGGCAGTGGTGCAATGTCAGCTCACTGCAACCTCTGCCTCCTGGGTTGAAGTGATTCTCCTGCCTCAGTCTCCCAAGTAGCTGGGATTACCACCAGGCTTGGCTAACTTTTGTATTTTTAGTAGAGATGGGGTTTCGTCATGCTGGCCAGGCTGGTCTCGAACTCCTGGCCTCAAGTGATCCACTTGCCTGGGCCTCCCAAAGTGCTGGGAGTACAGGCATGAGCCACTGCACTCAGCCAGATTCAGATTCCATGCCTTTTAGCAACATAACAAACTGCTTCTAGCCTCAGAGAAAGTGAAACATAATGGGAAATCAAAATAGAAACAATAATTCAGCAATATGAAATGTCCTACAATATTATGTACTTAGATGACACATGGCCTCTGAGACAGCAATAGCTGCAGATATTGAGTATACATTTCCCCTGCCTATTTTACTGTGGACTGGGGCAATCAGGTGAAACTTCTTAGAAAGAAAAGTACTGAACTGGGCCTTCTAAAGTGGCAGAATTGGATGAGAGAAGTAGAGGATAGAAGGCATTCTCAGCAGGGAGAAAGGTTTGAGCCGAAATGTACAAAGCATTAT